GTAAAATCAATACATTCCTCGCTCAGAATCTAAAAGTATTTAATTATTAAGTTACTTAATAGTAGGTAGTTAAAACGAATAAATTGATAGTGGATTAATTGTTAATACATTCATTTACATTATACTATATTTAATAATATTATCAACATTTAACTTTTTAATATAGTCCATTAATATTGTCTTGTATCTAAATTTGTTTAGATCATTATTCAATTGTCAACAAAGATCAATACTAACATGTAGGTACCTACTGTATTCGTTCTTAAAAAATGTTTATTAACTTTTAAAACATTTAAACTACAATGATTTTAAACGTGTGTTATATTCATGCTGTGACATAAATAAATTTACATTTATGTTTAACATAATATAATGTAATATTTACATTATTGTACAGTATTGCATAATCTGCTAGTTAGACAAATGTATACAATACTTTCCATCCCGGACTGTTATGTCATAAGTCCATGATAAATTATAGATTGTGCCTCAATAGAGAAGTGACCATTTTTTAAACTGTGTAAGCTTAGCTTAACTTTTAAAAACTTAATTAATATATAAAACAGCTTACGTATTAGTGTTGAAATATGTTAAACTTCATTAGACCGTATAAACTTTTCATCAACTTTAATTTCTTGGTATTTAATTACCGAGCAATGCCACTATGAACTCTTAGTCCCATGTGCAAGGATTTATTTYGAGGACCAAAATTTATATTATTAATATTAGTTATTACTTTTCATAACTATCCAAACAAATCAATATCAACGTTATCCACTCGACTGATGTAAAATTAGAATAATTGATGAAGCTAATGTCTAATATAAATATTTGGTGAAAATTTCAAGTATTTTACAGTTAATCATTTATATAAATTACAGTGGTATAAGAAACATTTCCATGATAAATCATTAAATTACAGGWGAATAGTCTCTTAACAAATCTAACTTCAAAGACTCATCATAATAATTAATTTGAATTTCCGATGCATTTTTTTTTATTGTTAAAGGAAAAACGTATKTCGTATGTGAAATCGTGTATTTAAATTTAAAATCCTAATTAAAAAAAAAAATTGTTTATGGATTTTAATATTTGAAACAGTCAATTTTTAATTTTAATTTTTGGTTTTTAGAAGCCCCCTAAAGCTAAAAGCYCGTGTACATAGCACACCTTGCCACACCATGTTGCGGGCATTGCGGAACTATGCCTAGGCAAAGACAGTTATCATCCATCGAACTATCRAACAGTTTTAAATATGAATTATTTAAGGCAGATTATAACATTTTGTGAACGGAAATGAATATATAATTAGATTTATTAAGATTAAGTTTCAACATTTTATGTTGACCTTTTTTATACAAAATGTCACAGAATTATAGATTTCAGTTAAATCGCTCTT